AACCGATACCAACTTGGTATTTGGTATTTCAATCCTAATGTGGTTGGTATTTTGTTGGTATTATGAACCCTCACTAATGTATAAGAGGCTAAGAAATTGGTAAAAAGTTGGTATTTGCCTCATGCTTCCAAGTTGGTTCGGTTTTGGTATTTCCCCACGGCTTTGGTTGGTATTTGGTTTGGTATCGGTATTCCAATCTCCTGTAATTGACATCACTAGTGTGTATCATGTATTGACTGGGCCGTAATAGCCACTTGTGGACAAGCCCTAAATAAACGAAATGGTGCATACTATGCGAACGTAGCCAATGGAAAGACAAATGGTGCTGGGCGATGGCCATTGCTCAATATTTGTCACTGCCAATGGGTGATAGCACGCAGCTTCTGCTGGATATGACAGGGGCGGCGCTGGCCTTTTGAAAGTAGTTGGGCACTTGCCACTTGGTAAGGGTAAGTACCTAAAAGTAGCGAAAACTAAGATGAAAAGTAAAAAATCGCACGCTGGTTGGCACGCTCAGCCCCCGTTCACGAGCCTCAGAATTCCTTTACCGTGACGTCATCACGGCGCATGAATTTTCCTTCACCCATAGAAATGCATGCAAAGCATGGTGTGTTTCAGGCGGGCTAAGGAGAAATCTAAGGCCTACATGTGTTCAAAAGACGTACCACTAAGCCAATGGATTCGTCTCATTACGATAAATGGGGTTGAAATCGAAACATTCGGCCTATATTTATCTAAAATGGGCCAATCAAATGGTCCCTGCAACTCATAATGAAGGATTTCCTCTGCGTTGAAAAATTTGTTTCAAGTGTTTTTTCATCAGCGACAGGGGAAATCCTTCATAATTCCTACCAGATTACTACCATATTCCCTCGCATTTCTGTTGCGCATTGCCTCACAAATCAGAGTTTTGTGAAGTTTATATTAATTTAATTGTCATATTTTGACTGATTTTGGCGATTTTCAATTATTTCAACGCAGCATGGATCAGATAGCTCTTATAGTTTGCTGAAGAATGTGGCTTTTGCTTGGTTATTTTCAAGTTATCTGTGATTTGGTGCGCCGTGATCGTAGCATTATACAAATTATATAAACTTTAAAAATTGAATCAACTTTTGAAGTGAAGTTCACATGAAAAATCAAAAGTTCAGCATAATAATTGTTTAAACCAGGGATGCGGAGCCGGAGCCGGAGTCGGAGCCGGAGCCGCCGGAGCCGGCATATTTTGCCCGGAGCCGGAGCCGGAGCCGGAGCCGTGAAACAATATAGCCCGGAGCCGGAGCCGGAGCCGGAGCCGCCAAAAAAGGGGGCGACTCCGGCTCCTTTTTATTTTTTGAAGAGGAAAAAATAATTGACCTAGTTCGGTTTGACAGTACAAGGCAGTAAAACATATGGTACTTACGTCATGGGCCATCAAGTGAATGAAAAAATCCGAATATCCCCAGTATCCCACAGTACGCAAACAACTTCCTGTTTGCTCTTCCCCCCCCCCCCCCCACGTCTACTGCATCCCCAGAACATGAGGACCAGTCATCAGGTGACGGCCATTGTTTTCAAACCAGTGCAGTGCAGTGGACTGCGACTCCCAGCACCGTCTCATCCCACACACCCCCCACCCCTCACCCCCCAATGCAGCCGAGACGGGTGTCAGCTTACGATGGTTCACTGAACTCCGATTCGCGGCGACTGCGTTTCCAATGCCATCGCTTCCTAGCCCTTTGTTCTGCCAGTTCTCTCCGAGGTGCGTTTGCGCGGGGACGCGGTGAGCCGGTCATGGCAAAGAGTAACGCGTATAACCAATCCAATTTTTCTTCCACCCGTATTTAATTGATTGCGTAGGGGATGTACTGAGTCGGAGCCGGAGCCGCCGGAGCCGGAGCCGCCGGAGCCGGACCATTTTACTCGGAGCCGGAGCCGGAGCCGGAGCCGCCATAACATTTCACCCGGAGCCGGAGCCGGAGCCGGAGCCGATTTTTTTCTCCGGAGCCGGAGCCGGAGCCGGAGCCGTCTGAAATTTCCACGGCTCCGCATCCCTGGTTTAAACATAATGATGCAACATGTGTCTCCCAGATGGAACTTATATTTCAATTGAAAACTGAAAATGGAAAACAGAAGATGGATCTGCGGAGTTACTGAGATCACAAGGTGCTCTTGATTGTTGGTAATTGAAGATCTTGAGAGAACTTGTGAATCTGCATACCAGTCCTGACTTGCTTGATTGTTTAAAACTATTTTAATTCTCATAATTGTGTAATGTGTAGTGACTGTGCACACTGCGCAGCACATGTGCGCAGAAATGTGCAGGTGGCTGGTAGGTGGGTTAAACTTCGGAGATGCGAATTTGGATGTCAGTTACAAAATTAATGGTTATGCCTTGTAGAGTAAGCTCTGCTGTTTTTTTTTTGTAATTGTCTTTTTTACATAGGCGTAGGAACAGGGGGGCCGGGGGGCCATGGCCCCCCACTTTCGGAGGTGGGGGGGGGGGGGGCCAGCAATGTTAACTGCCCCCCCCCCACTTTTGCTGACTTTAGTGTCTGTCTCTACCTACCACCCGGTACCCTTAACACCAAGGGCGCACACAAGGGGGGGGGCACACGGGCCCGTGCCCCCCCCCCCCATTCGAGTTGGGGGGCCCAACTCGAAGGAAGGGGCCCATTTACAACGGGCCCTCAGATGGTCTCAAAAGGCCCTCAGATGGCCTCGAAGGGCCCTCAGTTAGCGTCATAGGGCCCTCATCTGGTGTCAAAGGGCCCTTAGATGGTGTCAAAGGGCCCTCAGATGGTGAAAAAGGGCCCTCAGATGGCCTTAAGGAGCCCTCAGATGACCTCAAAGGACTCTCAAATGGCCTTAAAGGGCCCTCAGACCTAAGGTGACCTCGGTGACCTTGGGAGGTGAAGAGTATGCATTTTGTTTACGATTCGCCAAACAATGCATAATACATTTGCTCGTTGAAAAAAGATCATCTATGTAGTTAATTGAAGTATTCGGTGATATGAAAAGGCTGTGGCATTCATTATTTAATTTCCTCAGGTTGAGATTATTTAGATCCAGTGTTAGGTTCCTTTGCGGCAAATGTGTTCAGAATGTTGTCCTCGATTGCAAAATATCTCATGTCTGATCAGTCACTATTCCAGTTTCTACTATCCCTTTCCGTAATAGACGCATTCCAGACGACAGTGGCATTAATATACAAAGATGGACTCGTTTTAAGTTTTTTAGTCTAAAAATAACGTATTCCTGTTTAGGTCTTCGTTGTCAATTGCCACGAGTGGCTTAAATTGTTACTCGTAAGGAAAGAGCCTTGCTCCAATACTGAGTAATGTTTGTGTCAAAAGTGGAAAGAAACAAGTATTCATAGGGACTGTGATTTTGGGCGTTCATGCCTACCGTTTCCGAATCGCCACGACCAGTAGCGGCGGAATATCCTCAATTAAGGGGGGCACTGCCGACTTTTGGTCCCATTCTTTCCATGCAACGCCCATAGGGCTGATGTTAAAATGCCAAAGTCAAAGGGGGGCACGGTGCCCCGTTGCCCTCCCCGTTCCGCCGCCTATGGCCACGACCATGATGGCGATACCCGAGTACCTACAACCAGGCACATAGTCAATGGAGGGACGACAGGGTCAGCCGTCTCTCCCTGGAGATGGACCACTTTTTTTTGTAAATGAAAATGTGTTCCCCTCCCGAAAAATAGTGGGCCGAATCCGGGGACTTTTCGGGTTTTGGTGGGGGTATACCCTGGGCTCCGGCGAACTACAACCCCAATGAAAAACAAAAAGTTCCACCTCTGCACTGGACCTCGCATGCGGGTTGCGAGTTTGCGGGTTGAGTTTGCTTGCATAATACTAATTCATAGAGTGATTAGACCATTCCCTTATGGTAACTTCATGAATGCAGTGAAGCCGGTACACCTTCAGAAAATTACATATGGTCGCAATACCAGCGCAACGAACCAAAATTCGACTCCAACGAAAAACCCGCAAACCTCGCAGAACTCGCAGACCTCGCAGCGAGGAAAATCGAAAGTTGATAATAGTGAAAAAAAACATTAAAATTGGTAGAATGCATGTACGATAACCATGCAATGCATGGACAAGAACGCTTATAAAAATTCCAAACGATTATGGAATAACATAACATTTAAAAATTGTAAACATAGTTGGTAACCTGGCAAGAAATGCTTTTCCGTGTTTCACAGAACAATGGTGATAGGCCTGAAACCCCGGTCTGGCTCATTCGATGATGATGATGATGATGATTTGGGGTTTTTGGGCGCCCGGACTACAGTGGTCATCGGCGCGTCTGTCGAACGACCGTGAAGAGAAGTATAATTGGAAACCATAAATTGGAACTGACGCCAGCTATGAAGGGCTAAAACGATGGGTGGCCGCTTTGCCCCACTCTCCCCTACCGAGCATTCTGTGGCAGGCAGAATGGTGACGCATTAGAGGAAGTTGTCTAACTGAAACACGCAACTGCGCGGTACTCGCTTTTGATCATACACCTCACGGTTCACCGTAGAATGGTGGCTGGTCTTTTTACATTACGGTAGAACCTCAGATCACTTTAGCGGTGACTGGAGGATTTATGGCGACTTTAGATAGACCAGCTCACCGGGCGAAAATTCAGACACCAAAACCGAAATGCGTGCTGTAGCAACTCATATACCTACCTAACGTATCAATAGCGACGGTGGGGCGACTGCGATAGGCGCCGTCAGCGGAGCGCCGCGCCGCGCCGGCCGGCCGGACCGGTCCGAGCCCGCACTGCCGCCGCGCGGCGCACCAAAGTGGGCCGGCCGACTTTCACAGCCGGCGGCCGAACCGGTCCCGTGCCCGTCCCAACCGGACACCAGCCACGGGCCAGCCAGCGCCGCCTGCCCGCCTCAGACACCCCAGCGGTCGACGGCAGACACCCCAGGGGTCAAAGGTCACCAGCAACTACGGCGGCGGGCGAGCGGCCGTCTAACTAAACACACCCGAGCGGCCGTGCCGACTCACCGGGTGTTGTCAGCGGTCCGCCGCCGGCCGCGTCACTCCTGTGTGCACTGTGCCGCACGGGCGCGCTCCGCTGAGCTCTGTAACACAGACACGACCACCAGTCAGCACCGACACAGACACAGCCGCTGGCCACACCACACTGCCGGCCGGCGGCGGCGGCGGCGGCGATCGGCGGCGGCGATCGACCGGGAGGTGTGGCCGCCGCTCAGCCAATCAGCGTCCGCCGCCCCAAACAGCCGCCGACACCAGCACGTGACATAACACGGCCAAACGTCGACAAACCGTAAGACGCACAGGCTCAACGCGCTCCGCTTGGGGTGGCACTTTTAGTCAAAATTTCAGTGTTATTTTTTCAAATCACTTTCAACAGGGATGCATGCGGAGTCGTGGAAATTTCAGACGGCTCCGCCTCCGGCTCCGGTTCCAGTAGGTACTGAGTACATCCCCTATGCAATTAAATACGGGTGAAAAAAAAAAACGATGGGATTGGTACACGTTGCTTCTGTATTTGCATAACAAGACTTTTTTGTTTTTAGGGCCTAGACTATTTTCATATTTTGAATACCACATGTTTTACTACCTTGTACTGTCAAACCGAACTAGGTCAATAAATTTTTCCTCTTAAAGGAAAAGGGCCACCTTTAACATGGGGATTGAAACTGAGATAGCCATCTTGTAGCCCGTGTCCGAAAACCTATGTGTCTACCTCCTTACGGCCGATTTCGGCCTCCATTCGTAGTTATCGGCAATTTTAAAAGAAAATACGCCAGGAATGCGTCCTTATCCCAGGAATGCGTTCTTATCCGACAATACAGCCACCCGCGGCGAGGCTTTGGTTTTTTACCAATCAGCTCCAACCAGCTCAGCTTTAACCAATCAGCTTATCTGACACAATCCGACGAGTCTGTTTTCAGAACGCTGATTGGCTTGAGTGTGACGTCATCGCTATGCCATCATACAGTAGGTGCCGTAGAGAGTGTCAACATAGTACCAATATGTTAAATAGTTTTAAATACTTTTTCGCGAATTGTGCACTTCTGGCACCAGTTTTAAAAAGAAAACGAAAAATAATAATGTCAAAATGAAAAACAACGATATCTTCATATTTCACGAAGGTGGCCCTTTTCCTTTAAAAAAAGGAGCCGGAGTTGCCCCTTTTTTTGACGGGTCCGGCTCCGGGCAAAATATGCCGGCTCCGGCAGCTCCGGCTCCGGGCTATATTGTTTCACGGCTCCGGCTCCGGCTTCGGGCAAAATATGCCGGCTCCAGCTCCGGCTCTGGCTCTGGGCAAAATATGCCTGCCAGCTCCGGCGGCTCCGGCTCCGCACCCCTGCGATAGCCAAATTGGGGTCCCTGGCTTGCACTTACCGATTTGGGCACTCACAGCAACGAGAACTGCTTTAACCCGCGCCCCGCTGGGCTATTCAGCCATACGCGCCCTGCTGGGGGGGGGGCAGATTCTCCCCCCCCCCCCCTGTCTAACTTCCGAACCGATGGTCGTAGAAAGACGGGGAAAACGGCAATCGAAAGCTCTCAACAAGGCGGATCTTAAGAGCCCAAATTTTTTTTGCTTAAGTAGGTCAAAGATCAGGTCAAGGTCAGGTCAAGGGTACAAAATGCAAGTTTCTACAGTATCGTCCTTGCATGCACCGTAGTTGCCGAAGAATGGACTGAGACTGATTGCCCAAAACGTGTTCTTAGACTACCAAGACAATATTTGTTGCATACAATGTCATTCAAAGGTCAAGGTCAAGGTCAGGTCAGGTCAGGTCAGGTCACCAAAAACAAAATATAGAAAAGGGCATGTGCGACACATGTTTTATTGGTCATTTTACTCATAGAATTCAATAGGCACACTCAAGAAGTGATATGGACCACCTCTGGATGAATTTCAGGTCGAGGTCAGGTCAAGGTCAGGTCAAGTGAGGTCAAATTTTGAAGTTGGTTGTTAAGGCCTAAAAAGGCGTCTATCTGATGCAGTTTTTCACGGCGAATCGAATGGTGCTATTTTTGTTTCCGTACGAGGTCTAAAACTTCCAAAAAAATCATTTTTCAAAATTTTTGTGTGTCGTGACGTCATAAAATTTTGAATAACTCCCACATTTTGGAACCGATTCTTCTAAAAATTGGTATGTAGGTGCACATAGACCACTTCTCTGACATATATTCCGGTTTTTTCGATACACCCAAAATTTTGGATTTTATAATTATTTTCCCAAAAAAGTCAGTTTTTTTAAAAAAATTGGGACAAAATCCAAAATTTTCAAAAATCCGAGATAGCCATTTGATAAACAAAGCAGAATCACGCATAACCTTTTTTGTTACGTCTTGATTCCTTTAAAAATAAGGATGTTAGCGGCGTTTGAAATTTTGCCGTTTTTGAGGCGAAAATGGCGAACATGACGTCACTAAAACGTCAATTTCTCAAAAATTTTCGACGGATTTCGCTCAAATTTCAGGGAACGTGTCAAATTGATGTATGATAAGGTACTGAAAGTTTGACGTCGCTGGCGTAACGCGTTTAGAAGTTATTGGCGAAAAACGGGAGGGGGGCAGATTCTGCCCCCCCCCCAGCGGGGCGCGGGTTAACCTTCGCCCCAAAGGGCGAAGGTTAAAGGCATATGTAACCACCCTGTCAAGTTTTACTTTTTTTGCGTGTGAATAAAAAACCGCTGCGCTTAGCGCCGCGCCGCTTGGAGTAGCTTTCTGTACATCAATTTTGGACAATGTGTGAAATTTTTTACCCCAGGCCATGTGAGGTCAGGTCACCAGGTCAAGTTAACTGACCAAGCCTAAAAAAGTTTCCAATCATGTCCAGCCTGCAGTGTTTGTCAGAGACTAGAGAGGTGGATTGTATGGTGTTATGGGCGCCTATACTTTGTAATGTATATCTCGGATTTTTTTTTATATCCGTGACCTAAGGCCAATCCAGTGGCGTGACCTTTCCATTATAAGTCAATGGAGAAAACCGGCGACCGGGTGTTTTTAATCCCGGCCCAGTGACAGGGTCGGCAGTAGAGGTGGCAAAAGATGAAAATTTGGGGAACCAGACTCGAACCAGACCCGGCTGAACATTTCTGGAACCAGTCGGACCCGGTCTTAGTTGGAACCGGAACCAGTTGGACCCGTTCCCCAAAAGTCAATTAATACAAACTACTTGTAGGAATCATTAGTTGCATCATGTAAAACAGTCTATTTCCCACTGGGAATACTCATGAGCTATTGTGTGCAAAGAAACATTCACTTAATTCCCTTCATATTTTGTAATAATGTGTAGTGTGCAAGATGTATAGTTTATGGTAGGACCCGGTTGGACCCGTCAGAAAAATTTCCAGGAACCGGTCTGGACCCATATGGGTCCAGACTGGTTCTTTGGACCGGGTCCTCGGGTCCACAATTTGCCACCTCTAGTCGGCAGTGTTGCACGAACGCTCCTGTGGGGCGGGCACCGAGAGCGGACCGCCACGTCAGCGGCCGCCGCTCGCCCTGCAGCGAGATACTCCTCTTCTTGTTCATCTCCTAACTACTGTTCTTCCCGTCGCGCAATTACACCTCAGTTAACCTCTGGTTTTGGTCCCCAGGGGAAACAGAAAACCCATCAACATTATTGTTTCCAAAAGCCGCCGTAGGAACAGCATAGGTCCCAAAAAGTAAACAAAAATAAAAGTCAAATATCTTGAAAACCAGTGAATATTTTTGGGTGAAATTTGGTAGATAATAGGGCCTCCTCTAACATGTAACAGTGCTGCCGCTGGACCCCCTAGTGGAGTTGAAATCGCGTCACTGGGGGGGGGGGGGCACGCAGTGAAACTAAGAATGTAGAAAAACGAGGAAATAGATATCACTAAAAGATTACCCAACAAACAATCCAGACTATCTCCACGATCACCACGATAGTTACTAATTTTAGTTTTATTATACCGTTGTTTTTTGTTTGTTTTTTATCTACAAGAAACATTTCAGATCAGCCTAAGATGAGCCGCGGAATGAGGTCAGACATTGCAGACTTAATAATTAATCGAACACCGACTGAAGCCCAAACTGACCATGGGCATTTTTTTGAATTCCTTTGAGAAGGAAGCGTATCGGCGGATCGCTCTCTATATCAGTCAACTGTCAAACGCTCACGGTTCCGGGTTCAACACGAAGAAGCATTATTTTATTCGGGAGACGGGTTCATTCATGAAGAAGAAATCTTGCTTCGGTCAAATAAGAATGTGACAGAAGTCGGCGACGAGATACAGATACTAGCCAGCTGACAATGGGATACGCCCAAGATACTTAGTTACCGGAATCTCCGCTACGGTGAGGAGGGCAGCACCATGCAGAGGAGTGACAGATGCCAACAAACCAGATGATTGGAAGTCAAACGATTATGACACAAGACGATGAAAGTAATCACCTAACAAAATAGTTATCCGATAAGGGGGCTGCTGGACGATGACCGTCAAGCCGGGTACACTGGCGGATCCACGGGGGCCATGCCCCCCCCCCCCCCCAAAGGCCTAAAGTGGCCTGTTTGCCCCCCCCCAAAACGTCAGAAAAAAAAAAATTCTAAGAAAATATACCTTGATGGAGGTTTTTAGCCACTTGGTGAAGTAAAGTTTCCACAGCATAATATGGAAGCAATATGGTAGCAGTGAGGGTCAGTCAAAAGTTGCGCGAGCGGAGTCGACCTTCAAAAAAAGACTGTTGTTGGCACGTGTTTATGGCGCGGCAGCTGGTAGTTGGCGGTGTTTCGCGTGGTATGGCATCACTGGCGGATCCGGGGGGGGGGGGGTAGCACGGGAGCCTGAGGTGCCCCTGACAGGCCCGTGGTGCCCTTGCTAGGCCTGTGGTGCCCCTGGACCCTGGCAGGCCTGTGGTGCCTCTGGCGGGCCTAGGGTGCCCCTGCTAGCTGCGTGATGCCGTGATGCCTGCGAGGCCGGTGGTGCCCCTGCGAGGCCGGTGGTGCCACTGCGAGGCCGGTGGGGCCCCTGACAAGCCCATGGTGCCCCTGCGAGGCCGGTGGTGCCCCTGCTAGACCGGTGGTACACTCTGCCTGCCAGTGCCAGTGCTGCCAGTGCTGCCACTGGCA